GGTCTTTTTTCGTCTGTGTTAGCTTTGTCCTGACTCGACGTGCCTTCAATTGCATCCATCCCTTTGAGGGGATTGATGTCTTACTGTTTACATTCTTACTTTTATAAGGTCTGCATACATTCTATTTTTTGTGGACTGATTACATTAAGTATATTACAGTTATTCAATTTACTCACGACAACTAAAAAAAAATAACATTTTTCGTGCAAGGTGGGATTGTAAAATTAATAGCATTCAAAACATTAATTTTTCCTCGATCAAATTTATGTCTCACTTCATAGCCTTCTAAAATCCTATGATAAAATTTGTTCCAATAATACATCTTGAAAGCTCTTATTATCCTAGTATCACAAGGTTAAATCTCAACAAAATAATGATATTTCACGTTCCAACTAAATTAATTTTGTGAGGTTTTACTATAATATGGACGGATGGAAAGTAAAAAACTTCTTCATTCTAATAGAGAAATCTCTAAAGGCCAGTGACCATGGTCCGAAACTCTGAATGATGAACTCATTTTTCTATCTTTCTCTACTTAAATATCAGACTTATTATCCATAGCAAAGTTCGAATTCAAGACATGCACCTAATTTACACATTATGATGTGCTTCGCTCTTATCATTAAACCAAAACCTAATTACAACATCATCGAGGCCTTTCTTTTATCCTTCCATCAAACATACACTAACTGGCCAACACAACCATGAATAGACAACTCAGTAATTTCCTTTTCGAGCGCTCAATAACTTAGACTCAGACCTTATATATAAGTCGAAATTATATGACTCTATATGGACCATATATTATGTGGATCTATATATCCTAAATTGGCTAATCAGACTTTGTTATAACTTGAGATCAACAATATGAGCAAATGCATATAGGATCTATCTAGAAGGACAGATCTATAAATACACTAGTTTCTTTTGTTTTATGAAATTAAAAGAATCATAATAAGAATGGAGTAAATTTTAAGAAATGGTAATATAATTGCTTTAATATTCACTTTGATATTCTTTTTATGCAAACAGTAAATCCCTTCCTTTTTTTGTTAAGACAAAGACCAAATTCCATGCTTCAAGCCAATAAAGACGGAGAAGATTGACTCAAGAATCAATTTCATTTAGAGCTCTTATATATATATATATATCATAAGTCACGTTGTCAGTGGCAGAGACAAAAATTTTTATTAAAAGGTTTGAAATATATAAAGAAATAAACACTGAAATTAAAAGAGATTCAATATTTACTATATATACATAAAAAATAATTTTAATCATATATAAACAGTGTAAATTTTCTACGTTGTGCCCTTGAGTGCTGCGATGGAAGGCGTGATAAGCCAAGACAAAGCATGAAAATAGAGTGGAATATATTATGAAGGCCACTCGATTCTATATAGGAATAATAAAATAATAAGTGATATTCTTACATAATTTTTTGTGTGTATCGTGCTCACTAAGCAAGCAAAAAAATATTGTCCTAAAAAATGTTTATATGTAATTTAGAAAAAAATACTGCGTAATTTTTTATTTTATGAGAGTTGGATGAATTCATCTGTCCTATCTAGCTCTGCCTCGAAGCTATCAGAAATGAAAGCTATTTTTTTCAACATATAAAACACAACTAGTTGTGGCCACTCTACTAATTACGTTAATCACCTTTGCAGCTGGTTTCACATTGCCAGGAGATTTTAACATCGATCCTAATTAATAAAGGAGATATATGTCGATTCTACTAAATAGAATCACCATATCTTTATTAGGGCTATTGATAGCAATATCTTTTGGCGATGTGAAACCAGTTGCGAAGATGATTGTCACTAATTAATAGACGGGCTACAACTAGATGTATTTCAGTTGCCTTAGCTTCTTCTTTTCTTCAAAGAAAGATAGAGTGAAATTGCTTGTTGCTTGCAAAGTATAAGGGAAGTATGTCTAAGAAGGTGAAAAATTAGACTCAATATATAGATATTGTTGGACACTAAAAAGTATGTGAAAAATGTAGATGAAAAGCTGTGTTTGGTAGGAACTCTAGGAAAATAATTTGATTTCTTGTTTATTATTTTTTACTTATATTTGGCACATAATAAAAAATACTACCTCCGTCTTATTTTATATGTCAGCTTTCAAATTTTAAGAGTTAAACAAATCGATCTTTGATCGTGAATTTTTCATAAATATTTTGAACTATTAATTATTGTGACTCATAGTACTTTTTACTTAGATTACAAATATATAGATCTCATTTCAAACAAATTGAAGATTGTATGTGCAAATTTTCGATCAAATTTAAATTGTTTGACTCTAAAAATATAAAAGGTATCATATAAATTAAGACAAAAAATTCTCTAGTGTTTCAAAATTATTTTTAGTATATTAGTAAAATAAAAGAAAATAGAAGAATATGTTATAGTAGACTAGTTGATAAATGAACACAATACAACAAATAAAATATTGATAATATTTTTAAATATATTATAAAAATATATGTTTTTTTTGTAAATTGACTAAAAAAATATATGGTATTATACCTTACCGGTGGGCAAAACCATGTCGAAAGTGTAAAAAAGTGGATGCTTTAGCTAGTGGAGAATGTGCAAAAAGTAGATTATACTAAACAAGGTTTAGGATTACAATACTCTTTAATTTTTTTTTATTGTTTCTCAATTGCTTTCTTTTTCTTTCACTTTTTCTTTTTTTTACTTTGGTGGTTTAATTCAAAATCAAGTTATTCCAAATTATAATTTAGGATTTGTTCCAAATTATAAAGATTCCTATTTGGATCTATCAAGTGGGTGATTCCACAAGCTTCGTTTGCTCTTTTAAGAATTCGTTTGAATTGGCTTAAAAATTAATTAAAAATTTATTTTTAAATTAATTTTTGACTTCTAAAACTGTTTAACAAATATTAAAAATAAATTAAAATAATAAATCATAAAATACTTAAAATAAGTTGGAAATCAACCGTAGATGTTCCTTATTATTAATTTTTGACTAAAGATTCATTTCAGTTTGACTTTTTTAAACAAATCCAAACAAATTCCTGGCCCTTTTTTCTTCTAATTTTGACAATCATGTCCAATTTTTTTAAAGCAATTGAAGTCACTCCTTAAGCCTTTCCAAAACACTTGAAACCTAAAATTATATCATTCAAATCATTACTAGTTCATTAATCTCACAAATGGGCCATGGATTTATTATGGGTGAGCATTCGGTAATTTGGTTTAATTTTAGTTTTTTTTTGTTTTTACGATTTTCGGTTCTTGTACAACGTGTATCGAACATCAACCGAAATAATTCGGTTCGGTTCCGTTTTTATTATTTTGGTTTGGTTTTTATTATTTTAGTTCGATTTGTTATTTTGGTTTTTTTTTAATGGATCTGCTTAGTGGGCTTTTAAAATTTAAAAATTTACAATTTTTTTTGTTTGAGTTTTCAGCGTAATGGGCTAAAAATAGTTACATTAAAAAAAGTGTCTTTTACTTTTTACTTTTTAATTTTAAATTATAATATTTATTATTTAACATTAATAATTAATATAATATAAATATATATTATAATATAATATATTTCGATAAATCGAAATATCAAATAACACAAAATTACATACCAAAAATTAAACCAAAATATCAAAAAATATAAAAACATATATCGAATACCAAACCGAAAATCGAAATATAAAAAAAATTGATTCAGTTCGATATTTCAATTTTTCAATATTTATGCCCAGCTATAAGATTTATTATTCAAAAGTGGCATAAAGTTGACAATAATAACAACTTATCAATAATATGAGGTAGGAATTCATAAACTTAGAAAAATATTTTTTCATAAAAGTATATTTTTCTAGAAAATATTTTGTTAGATATAAGCTAAGAAAGTATTTGATAAGTCAAAAAAAATAAATATTATTTCGCAAGCACCCATAGGGGAACTAAAGAGTTTTTCAAGGTAAAAAAACGGAAGGACGTGTGCTAATGAAACAAATCATACAAGAGATATATGGGCGAGGCACAATGCAAACATTTGAATTGACTTATTTTACGTATTTTTAAATAGTTTTAAAGTGTGGATAAAATTAAAAAATATTTATAAGCTTTTATTTTAAAGTTAAAATAATAAAAATAAGTCATAAATTAAAAATCAATCCAAATAGACCCTAAATAATTATTTGGCTAGTTTGAAGTACTATCCTTAATTAATATTTGGATAACTAGTCGAGAGATGTTTAAAAGGAATTAATATTTGGATAACTAGTCGAGAGATGTTTAAAAGGATTTTAGTTAGCAGATTTGGGGGATGTCCAGATACGACTAGTTTATTTGATTTGTAATGTTAACTTGATAAATAAAATATTTACTTACCAAAAAGAATGTTATTCAAAAAATATTCATATGTAATCTAATAAGATACTTACTACGTGGATATAATTGAGGGTGAGACGATTAAAAATGGGGATTGAAAATCTCGAGTGATTGAAAATGAGAGAGAAGTCATTTTTCTCATTTATAAAAAGTTTGTTTTTCTAAAAAAAACATATTATCTAAATATTATGACCAATTAAACATAAGAATTAAAAAATATTTTCCCCCTTACCAAATATAAGCTTATTACAATTTGCGCCGTGGGTACTTTTTAAATTTAAAAGCCACATACTTGTTTTAAATAATTTTGTGTGAACAAGTATCATTAAAATTGTAACACGTGTTTACTAAAATAATGAAAAACATCTTAATTTTTCATAAATAACAGTTACTATAATTTTTTCGTACTCATTTATTAAAATATTCATACAAATAATAATCTGAGTAAAGACAATAATAAGGAAAAAAAAATTAGTTTATGTATTTAAATTAAAACTCGATTAAAATTTCATATTAACGATAAATAGCTTTTTAAAAAAATTACTGACTCTATACTTATCGAGCCCCAAAACATAATAACTAACAATGTGAACAATTAATATGAAACCTATAAGGGGAAAAATATTTATTGGTGGAAATAAATTCACTTCTCTTCTCCACTTGTGTCCATTGTCTTTCTTATCTGTTCTAAAAATTCTCTGTTTGGTGGAAATGAATTCCATTCCTTTCTCCATTGTTACATACATACCTTCAAAGCAGCCATTGTTACACTGTACCAAAACTTCCCAAACAACAACAGATCCAATTCCACATTTTATCAAATCCTCAATACTCTCGTCTTCTTCGAAATCTGTGAATAAACTCGCAGAAAAAATTAGTCCATTGCCTTCTTCGTTCAGTAGAAGAGAAACCCTAAGTGCTTGCGGTTTGGGTTTTTCGGCGGTTTTGTTCGAGGCTCTTTTGCAGCCACAGTCGAATATTGAAGCAATTGCTGAAGAAGCTGCAGCTACGGAATGTGAGTTCACAGTTACACCTTCAGGTCTTGCTTATTGTGATAAAGCTGTAGGTTATGGACCTGAAGCTGTTAAAGGACAATTGATCAAGGTAACTTATTAGTCTTTGAACTTCTCTTTGATTTGATTTATATTTTTTAGTTGTTAGTTTTGGGAAAAAAACTTATTTGCACCGTAGAATTAACCTAAATAGCTGTGTAACCGCTCTCATTGGTAGCTGGTTTGGAGGCGAGTTATGCAGTAATACCATAGTTCGTAGCTGGTTTGGAGGTGAGTTATGGAGTATAAGTAATACCAAAATTGGTAGTTGGTTTGAAGTTGAGTTATGCAATATAGAATTAATATGATGTTTGAGTAATAACTTTGAAACTCGCATAACTAATACGTGTCTAAGTTATGTGAGTATTGATGTATATTTTTTTATGGTTGTGGTGTATAAGTTTGCTTTCGCATATCTGAACTACTTCCACGGAATACATCCCACACCTCCCATCAGATATAAAGTAACTATGTCCACCAAGGCTAGAATAGATAGTAAGGATTACCTCGTGTTTTTTTTATCTTCGGTGGGTTTTGAACTTGACACCTGGTGACTCTCAACCACTTCATTGACACCTAAGTCACATCCTTGGGTGCAATAATGTATTGTTTTATAAATGGTAGATAATGAAATAACAAATACATGAATAACTAAACTCTACATAACTATATGTATATAAGGTAATACATAAATTCTCTCATAACTAATTTCTATATTACTCTAACCTGCTACCAAATGATATCTAAGTTCATTTGGTACGACATAAGTCATGTTTCATGTGTTCGGTTGGTGAGTGGTAAGTTTATCCGGAAAATATACGATATATATTAAGATTAATGATACATTAGTAGAGATTTTATTGATGAAAATTTTGTTAGAGAAGATTAGTATACTAGTGTCTAAGTGTTGGTTGGAGCAAGTCATATGAAATGGAAACCTGAAGTCTTGCAAGGAAAATGACTTCCGCTCATGTGTGACTGCAAGGGAAGTCATTTTTCCCTGTATGTACATTTATATGGTAACCAAAGACCAGAAAAATTACTTCTGTTGTGCCAAAGAGGAATTCTAGTCACACGTTGATACTAAATAAACCAAGTTAAGTGATAAATATTTCTGCAAAAGACACATGTATGCACAAATTTAGGTAAAAGTATAATTCTTTTTGGTGCCTCTCGTCATTATAGCCAAGAAAGTAAGTGGCTGCATTTTTGCATGTGCTTCTCAAAAAGTTCAGAGGTTAACTGGCAAAATGGGATCAACATAAGAGGAAAGTTTCGTAAAGTTAGTACATCCCGGGAGACGCGTTGAGATTCAGAGAGAACCTATTAATACTACAGTGATACTCAAGAAGTACCTGAGATACTGCATTACCCAAGTTTTCCTGGATCGTTTCGTCTTGAAGCAGTTCTGCTTATGTAGTTCTTAAGAAGACAACTTGTTATCTTTTGAAGGCCAAAACTAGCAGAATCAACAAAGGCGACTAGCAATTCCCTCATTTCAACAGTCATGATTTTACTTCCCTTAGTAGTAGTCAAACCTCATTCTTCAGGTAAAATCAATGCTTCAAGAATCATGAAGAACTTTAGTCTTAATATTCAGAATTCAAATCTTAAGAAAAACTGTTGAATGCCTTGAATCGGACCCGTTACAACAGAAAAAACGGGGGTCTCGCTGCCCGGTCAGCGAGTCGGGGGTCCAGTGGGGCGACGCGCCCCCTGGCCTGGGGTCCGGCGGGGGGAGTCGCCCCCGGCCCGACGGTATACAATGTTGTTGTGGCCCTTAATTATCTGTCAATTCTGTATTTTGGGCCCAAGCCTGTTAGGGCGTAGCTTAGCACTATATATAAACGTTATGGCAAACCCTATTCTGTATTCTGTTCTTGCCTCTCAATAATATAACTGCTCCCCCTCTTCCCGTGGACGTAGCCAATTTATTGGTGAACCATGTAAATCTGTTGTCTTGTTTTTCCGCGTTTATATTTTCTTGTATTATCTCGAATTCCGCATAACAAAAACAGTTGAACTAGTTTCACACGTTTTTGCCCAATCTTTAAAGTGGGTGTTTTATGTAGCTAACTCTATAGTTTTTCCCACAATAATATATATATATATATATATATATATATATATATAAAATACATAATAAAGTGGTATTTTCTGGTGATTTATATATGTTTCTGGCATGGGTGACCTTTTGGAAAATAAAGGAATGGTTAAGTTATGTTGTTCATACAAAACAAGGCGAAGTGACTTTAGTAGATAAATTCATCAAGTTAAGTGACCATTTGAGAATTTTTCTCCTGTATATATTGGTTCATAATTAGAGGAAAAACTTGCTCTGAAAAAGCTATTTGGTATAGTGAGACTAGATGTTTGAGCTCGTCCTTAACCTTTTTCTCTTATATATTGAGTCGTATCACATTATTATTGAGAGATTATGTTGTTCAGGCACATTATGTAGGTAAACTGGAAAATGGGAAGGTCTTCGATAGCAGCTATAATCGTGGAAAGCCTCTTACATTTCGCGTTGGTGTTGGCGAGGTAAGTTATTTTGTTATTCTATAGCAGATTAGCAGTACTATCAGCAGTAAGAAATGGACAAAAAAAATTAGATTATCTCTATGACTATCTATTGCTCTCCTCGCAGGGCCGTAGAATGGTTCTAGTCTTGATTGACTAGATCCTTGATCCCAGAGTTTTATCTACATCCAGTTGCTTCTATAGTACATAGTTTCCAATCTTGTAGCTTGATATAAAGACTAACTAGGCTAGCTTTTCTCACTGGAAACTTATATTTCAGCATGGAGTAGCAACCAGGAATATTAGTCCCGAAACCTCCTTTTTGTAACACCTTCACTTTAAGTCACCCTTCATACAGCCCCCTATGGGCTGTATTTGCTAGAGACTTGGGCATTCTTATCGTAATGCATGACTACTTAACGGGGGGATTCACTGCAAATAGTAGCTTGACTCATTATTGCCGAGATAATGGTCTACTATTGACTCTTTCCTGAGTCACACTGTCCCCATTTGTACTAAGGTTCCTGTTACTGTATTTTCTAATGCTCCTTATACATTTGTCCCTTGAGTAATAATAATATACTATATTTCTTCTGGAACTAAAAGAAAAAACAAATAAACTGTTGTCCTATGAATATAACTTTATAATGTTTAACGGTAGATAGTTAACTCGTTTTTTCTGCTGATTATTTCCTGTTGTAGGTTATTAAAGGTTGGGATCAGGGAATTCTAGGAGGTGATGGTTTTCCTCCAATGCTAACTGGTAGGAGCACATTTTGTACATCAAATTATTCATACTTGAAGAATTTCAAAAAGGAAAAGTTTCTATCTCATCACTTAAATTTCAGGAGGAAAGCGTAAACTGAAGATTCCTCCAGAACTTGGATATGGGATAAGAGGAGCTGGCTGCAGAGGAGGTAAGCTAATTCAAAGAACAATTCCCAGTTACATACTTTCCTTTTCTGTTTAACCATCCGATACCCAAAGTTCACTGGCCCGACTTGTTCTAGGCCTGTAAAAGGGTAAATCGCTCTCTATGAAAAGATTTTCCATTCTCAAAGTTCGAAACCAAAACATTTGGTTAAGCCTTAAGGGGAGAGGGATCCCTACTATCCTACTACACTACTCTCTGGTGTCGGCCAGTTACATATGTTCTTTTTCTGCTTAACCATTCAGTACCCAAAGTCCACTCACCCGATTATCTAGGCCAGCTAGATGGGTAAAGCGCTCTCTAGTGAAAAGATTATCCCTTCACAGAGCTCAAAACCAAGACCTCTAACCCCAATCATCACGCCACACCGGTCTGTGGTACCGTGCAGTTGCATATGTGGTAGCTGTAAATAATGTCCTAACTGTCACATACTGATGGCTTAGGTACGTGCATTATTCCTCCAGACTCAGTTCTACTGTTCGATGTGGAGTTCGTTGGCAAGGCGTAGGTCTCAGCTATAGAGGTATAGTTTCTAGCTACTCATAAAATGATCGATCAAAGGGCAAAGTTTTTGTAAGCTTAATACTTTTAGAGACTTTTGCAGTACATACCGTGACCTGCTTGTATATTTTTGGTTATCTTTACAAAAATTACAATTATTTCGTACAGAATGTTACAAACTATATAAAGTAATTTTGCGAGGAACCAGCAAGGATTGTGGTGAAGTGGTAAGTATTCATTCATCCTTAACTAACACCATCAGGTTCAAGTCCCCTAGGGTATGGAAGTCGCCTTTTTTAGGAAGCGTTTTACCCAATGGGACTTCCCAGCGCGAATCTAAAGGTACGAAAGTCGCCTTTGTTGTAGAACATTTTACCCCAATGTAAAATTTTCCGGCACAAATCCAAATTTAGTAATCAAACTAAAGGGCTCTCCCTATCAACACTGCACACACAACTCATAAGCCAAGTAAGCTTAACACCTGATTAATGAGTGTTACTCGAAATAATTAAGTCAGATGATTGCTGATATCATAAAATAAAATAAATTATTTCCTCAATTTACTTTTACGTTTCACTTATTTTTAAAATAAATTTTTATTTTTATTTGTTATTTTTGATATATCAAGAAAAGATAATATTCTTTTCATGATTTACCCTCAGCTTACATACTTATTTTTCAAGTCATTATTTATCTGAAATAATTTAATAAAATACTTATATTCTTAATGAATATGTAAGTTAAATTGCGATAAATAAAAGTCAACTGAGGGAGTAAAAGGAAAAAATGAAGTTGATAGAATTTGCCATCTTGTCAACTATTCATTGTGGAACTGGCATGCCTCAATTGAGATAATTGCTTCCCACATCTTCACATGGCATTAATTATATAAACAATTTAAAAGTTACCTAAACTACAATATCAATATAATAATAATATTTAAACACCACGTGGCTTTATGTACTTCCTCTATTTTACTTCATCTCAATAGTTCTACAATTAAGAAAGATTTAATTTTAAAATTCTCTTTCTACCTTTAATGCAATAGTTTATAATCATACATATATTTTAAAATAAATCACAATCGCAAATTCCAAAATCTATCTTTTTAAAATTTGTATTTACACAACATAAATTAAGACAGCACGAACATAATACTGTAGACTTTTAGGGGTCTTTTGGTAGTTGTAAAGAGGCATACTATTTATGTATATATTAATTTGTATAATTATGGATGTTCGTAGTGGTGGAGTTAGAATTTTTAATTAAGGGATTTAAAAATTTGAAAAACTGGATACACGATAAAGTCGAAGGAGTTTGACATCTACTATATATATCTAAAAAATTATTTTAACCATGTATAAATCGTTTAATTTTCCATCGAAGGAGGTTTATCTAGGTGGCTCCGCCACTAGATGTTTGGTTTGTAATTTAAAAATATATGTATAAGGTATGAGAGAATTTATATATTATCTTGCGTGGAAGAGAAGATAAAATAACTAGTTCATACATAATTTATACTCAATAACTAATACTCCCTTCGTCCGGTATTGTTTGTCATGGTTTCTATTTATAGAGTCAAATTATAAAAACTTTGACTAACATTTTAAGATGCGTTTTTAATCATATTAATATGAAAAAATTATAATTTATAGTATTTTTCATATAGTTTTAGAATATCTAATTTTTTTGTTTAAAATATCAAATTAATGTGATCTAAATTACCTTTGAAATAAGTCAAATTGACTTTCGGTAAGCGCAACATGACAAATATTTCTAGACGGAGGAAGTATTCAATATCTAATACTTACATAATTCTTTTTTTATTTGCTTACCTACTATCTGATATCCACATCGGAGTAGAGCATTCTCTAACAAAAGGTGATTTCATATCCAAAGAGACTCGAACTCGATGTCCACTAGGAAAGTTTAGGATATGAGGAAATCTATTCAGCCAATAAGCTTTTAGATTTTGATATTAAATTTGACCCACGACTTGATTATTAATATAATTTATTTTTATTTTTATTTTTCTCTCTCTCACACTTTTTCTTTTAATACTTTGGTGAGTAGTTTGTTGAAAAGGAACTAAAGTGTTGCGTAAACCGTGTGTGGATGTGACTTTTAAAATCATCGTAGATGTTGACTAGTGTAAATTTTCTATCCACAACAAAAAATTTAAACGATTAGAAAGGGTTCGTTATATCAATAAAGTGTATTAATTAAAAAAATATTTTTACCTAAGTTCATGAATGTGTTTCCTTAAGTTGTGCAGAAAATGGTAGATTGGAATTGAATGAATTGCATCGAAATGTCTCTGTCTTATTAGCGAGAAAAATAAAGTTTTATTGAATTATTATTGTGTTTAAGTTAAATGTTGATAAATGATAACTCTATAAACAAACATATATCTGAAAAAACTTCCAATCTAAGATTTTTTTTCTTTTTTAATGAGTTAAAATGGAATATGAAAATAGGAGTACCAAAAGGGTGTCTTTATTTCACAAATAATAACATACTTGGACTAATTTTATAAGTAGAGTTTGAGAAAGGTGGTATCTACTCGTAGTTTTGTTTCTGTCTTGTGGGGTAGATATATTGTTTTCGATAGACCTTGGTCTTAAGTAAAGAAAATCAAATCAGGTATGAAAAGAAAATATAATAGAGAGAGGAACAATAGAAACAACAAATAATATGATAATCGAAGTAAAGAAAACAATATCTAATAGGAAATTAAAGAAAGATAATAAAAGAGTAATACTCCTATCTAGGGTTATGTCCTTGATAGTGTGGACGCACATGATATGCCATGCATAATCGTCTTCTCCAATACGTCTTCTGCCACCTCTATCTTTCTTCTGACTCACCATGATCAACTTTTCACACCTCCACTAAGACATTTGGTATTATTCCAGTCTTGTTTTCCTCATCTTAGAAACTACTCTCACGTTATACTGATATTTTTGTTTCCAATCATCTCTCATCTCAAACTCATTCAATCCGATATACTATTATGTTTAAAATCGTCGTCAATCTCACCATTTTCTTAAATTATATTATTGATAAAAATTCTTGATCCTCCCTTAGGATGTCATTGTTTCACATAACTATAATATTCTCAATTTGAAGTGGAGTATGACTATCTCTATATTTGTGTAGCGTGTAAAGAAAAAGCATACCCCAACCACATTTTTCACTAAAATCCACTATTTTCCTTTACACTATTTGATCGATCCATCAATTTCCTTGAGACTGCTGTTTATTCCAAAAAAATAATATTCCAATCATCTTAATTTATCTGGTCTCATTTAATTCTGATGTAAAATTATATAATTATTGATTTAATTTTTTGAAATTTATGGTTCAAAGAAAATTGAACATTAGTGTGAGTTATAGATTATTTCATTAAGAGTAAAATGAAATTTTTAAGTATAGATTATTTTTAATTATAAAAATGTGAAATTTCTGAGACAAACTAAAAAACAAAAAAAACGTCACATAAATTGGACAAAAAAAGTTAAAATTATGGCACTCAATATTTGTATTCATATGAAAAACTAAATAAGATTGAGATTCACATGCACTGTTTTGTGTGATAGTTCCAAATTAAAGTGAAAATATACACTTAATCGTTTTTTAAATAGTTAAGTGTATGGAAATGCAAGGGCATATCTAATGTATCGATATTGGGTTTATCTTAATTCAGTATTTTTATTAAAGTGAAAATATACACTTAATCGTTTTTTAAATAGTTAAGTGTATGGAAATGCAAGGGCATATCTAATTTATCGATATTAGGTTTATCTTAATTCAGTATTTTTATGTGAAATATCAATTTATGTGTAAAAATTCATCAAACTTGCAATAGATACTAATATTATATATAAATTCACAACTTTAAAAAAATAATTAGTTTACTACTAAAAACACTAAAAATAAAATTCAAAAATATTAATTTTGAATCCATTTCTTTATACAAAACACAAAATATTTTATACTCATTTAATAATAATATGATATAAAGTTGTTAAACCTCAACATTGAATATTCAAACTGCGGACTAAGGCATTGATTGATGCAATAATGACAAACTTTATATATAATAGCTCCTACCTACCTACTGATAGAAAATAAATTGCTTATTTTGAAAATGATTTAGTCAACCTATTGAAACAATTTCACACATAAAATTAATCACGATATATTAGCTGATTTACCATATTTGCACTCTTTTATATTCTAGTTGCTCGGAGTTATTGTTATTGAGCATTTTATTTCGCAATATGAAACTTTTAGATAATCGAGGTGTTCATCCAAACTTCTTGACAAAAAATTACATTGCATATATAAGGTATTTTTTCAAAAAAAAATTATGTCTATATATTAATTTTGACTCTTTGAATATAAGATTAGAAGTTGACTTAATGTCTCAGTTTAAAATTGAAATCTTGAATTCGTCATTGGTTCCAACACAAAATTGGACTCCAATATATATATCAAGGGGTTCACCTGGTTTCACGGAGTTATTGTTATTGAGCATTTTATTTCTCAATATGAAACTTTTTAAATAGTCGAGGGGTTCACCCAAACTTCTTAACAAAAAATTACATTGTATATATAAGTTATTTTCTTTAAAAAATAATTATGTTTGTATATTGATTGTGACTCTTTGAATGTAAGATTAGAGATTGACTTAATGTGTTTGAGGGGCTCAAAATTGAAATTCTGGATTCGTCATTGGTTTCAACACAAATCGAATTCCAATATAGATATCGAACACTAGACCAAAAAATCAAAGATCTTTAATAGGTTCTTTTTTCTTTTAATAAGCGTTTTTGCGTTCAAACTGAGATAAAAAGATAGATCATGAAGAAAAAAAACTTCTCCAAAAACATGTCTTACGCAACGCAAATTCATATTAATAAGACATTAATATGAATACCCAAGAAAGATTGAAGCAACATGAGAGCTTTTTAATACCATAATTAATCAGTTTCCATGGAGCTAATTTTCTTTAGAAAATAAGAAAAGCTCATTACATTACATTACTAAACAAACAAAAGTAGAAATAAAAATTCTACCAAATAAAAAAAAAAATATGTACACATAACATATTACTAGCTACTCCTAAATTACCAACAACAACAACTTAAGATTATCAAAACGATGGAACGACGCCGTACGAAGCGTCGGAGGCAACGAGTGAGTCTCCCACTTCGTTCTCCGTACGCTTCGCAAATCTCCCTTTGATTCGAGGTCGAGTCTCAGCATAGGCCTTTCTAGAAGCATATCGTATAGTCTTCTCGAATTTTCTATTCTTTCTCTTCTCTCTATACCTTAATACTCTTGCTTTTCTGTCTAAACTCGAAACTGGGTTAGGTAGTCCGTCAATGGCGGAGTTTCTAACAAATGTGTTTGATACATCTGTCATCGTGTTATG